GCCCGAGGTCAGCCAGACGCTTCTGGGCCAAGGAGGACGCGACCCGAGTCTTCTCCTGCTCCGGGTCCAGCCCCTTCCCCACTAGACCCCCTGGCTCTTGGGCTGGGAGGGAGAGAGGGAGGGGGCCAGAGTCTCCCGGGGCGCTTCTGGGGCAGAGGGGGGACCCAAGCCTGGGCTCCCAGCTCCCAGCTCCCAGGCCAGCCCCTTCCCCATTGCACTCCACTGGCCCTCTTTACTGCAGATAATCATAAACTAAGTAAACACATAACAATAGGCAAAACTTAACGACGCTTTGCATGAGACGCTGAAACCTTGTGAGATGTTAAATGTTGTGCTGCAGAATCGTGGGGATTTGGTGGGGGGCCTTGCTGGGCACCTTCTGACTTGGGCTTCTGCTCCCCTGCTTTCTGTGATAAACATGGAAACCCCCATCCCTGAGCTTAGCCCTGGAACCCTCGATGAGCAGCAGTGGGGACCTCACAGCCCCCTCCCCACCTTTCCTGGTGGAAAAATTGATGGGAATGCTTTTGTTTGTGTGGAATTGCACACAATTGGGGTGGGAACTTTATGTGTGCAATTTTAACCCCTTTTTTCCAACCCCAACCTTCAGCTTTGCTGTCAATCTCCTTCTGGCTGCACTTGCTTGGCTCACAGAGCTAAAAGGGCCCCTTCTGTTTCTCCAGCACATCCAGGTCACCACGGAAGGCCTGGGGCTTCCCGTGTCATCCAAACCCAGGATATGCCACTTGAGTCTCTGGAAACCAGGACTAGTTGTAGTTTCTTGGTGCTGGGCTGGGCTCTGGGATCCCTGTGGGTCCAGTGGCTTGGATGATATGGTCAGCAAGAACGTTTGTTGTAGATCACAAGTTCTCAAAACCTCAAATGGTGGCCAGTTTGGACAATGTGGGAAGCCACAAGGCTTGGCGCAGATTGCAAAGCATGTTTTCCAAAAACCCAAAACAGCTACTGGTTCGAGCAGCAGGGATGAGGCGAACAGCGGTGTGCGTGCTGGGGTTTTGTTCAGTGCGCAATGCAAGAACAGCTGCTAGATGCGTTGAATGGGGTTGTGTTTCAGCCATGCCAGGAGCAGAGCTGGCGCATCTGGGCTGCGGAAATTCAGATGTCTGCTTGGTGGCAATGAAGAGAGGTTTTGGGCTCTCTGTGAGATTTGCCCCGTTCGACAGAGAAACTCTCGTGACACGTGTGGTTCACAAA